TCACCCAAAGAACTGGCTAAAAATTCAGAAAAATGGGTTTCATTTCATACCTATTACACAGCCATAAAAAAGAACAAAATCATGAATTTCTCAGCAACCTGGATGGAATTAGAGTTTATAATACTGAGTGATGTCTCACAGAAACAAAGACCTGAGCATCACATGTTCTCACTCATAAGTGGACCTTGAACAACTACCGTAATACTATAAGGAAAGGATTGACAGTGGCAGGAAACTATGGTGGGGGGGAGACAGGGAGGGGAAGGGAGGTGGGATTAACGGTAGTCGATATCTGTCCAGGGAAAGGGGGGCACACCTCATTAACAAGGGTACCCGCACAATGAATATTTGTATACCTAACCCTTAACTGTACCCCTCAACTTTAAAATAAAAAAATATATTATAAAAAAAAGAAAAGAAAAGAATAGGCAGTCATTTGCCTGGGCATGGAAAGATGCCTGCCATTATATTATTTAGTTAAAAAAAAAAAAAAAAAGCAGGAAGTAGACTAGACCAGTAGATCCTGGATGAGATAATTTGAGGTTTTATGTTTAGGTCTTTGATCCATTTAGAGTTGATTTTTGTGTATCAACTATAAGAATCTTAGAAAATGTGGGAGACATCTTTATGGAAATTGGAAATGGCAACCAATTCCTGATCAAAACCCTAAATGCCCATGCCATAAGAGATAAGATAGGCAAGAGAGACCTCATTAAACTGACAAGCTTTTTCAAAGCCAAAGAAACTATCAAGAGAGCGAGGAGACAGCCCACAAAATGGGAAAAAATATTTGCCAACTGTATATCTAACAAAGGCCTAACATCCAAGATCTACAAGGAACTCAAATGTGCCAAAGAGAAAAAAACAAACAGCCCTATTACAAAGTGGACAAAATGTATGAATAGACAGTTCTCAAAAGAAGACATATGAGGAGCCAATAGATACATTAAAAAATGCTCAGCCTCACTAATCATAAAAGAAATGCAAATTAAAACTACACTGAGATACCACCTAACTCTAGCCAGGATGGTCATCATCAATAACTCAAAAAACAACTGATGCTGGAGAGAATGTGGGGAAGAAGGAAACTTTCTACACTATTGGTGGGAGTGTAAACTAGTACAACCTCTGTGAAAAACAGTTTGGCAATTCCTAAAAGATCTAAAAATCGTCTTTCCATACGACCCCACGATTCCCCTAGAGGAACTCAAATCACTCTATGAAAAAGATACCTGCACACATATGCTTGTTGCAGCATTATAGTAGTTTGTTCTTAATACATTATAGTTCGAAATGAATGCACAGTTGAGTCTCAAATTACAGAATGCTTCAGAATCACTTGTGAGCTTGATAATAGTGTCTTTACCTGAGCACCATTGCCAAGGAGTGGATTTTTAGTGTGGGACCAGAATTCTGTATTTTAAACATACTCTATAAAGGATTCTGATGTATTTGACAGACTCGCAAAGTTGTAGGAATAGTGGCATATAATATCTTTAAAAGTATCTTATGTTTTAATTTTGGAGTGTAATTTCTCTTTTGTGGTATTTCTTTTACAATATATAAATTCTAGATAAATGAATTGACTTGCTTAGGATCACACAGTCTACGTGGGAGAGTGCAGAGAAAATAAAGCAAATACATTTTAGCCATAAGTTTCACTCAGTTCTCAACTCTAAATACATCAGAAGCATTGTAGGAATTTCAACACTGTAACGATCTGTTGGTCCCACCTTTAATGAGTCTGCATTAATTGGTTGGAAGTGAGTCCTAAGCTCCACTTTAAAATTTTCTCAAGTAATTCAAATCTGCAGCCAGGGTTGAGAACTTATTCACTAAATACAACAGCAAAACAAAAAAACACCAGTTGTCTCTTTAAGAAGAGCACAGCCTAATGTGGAATTAATACGTAACATGTATAGATTAATTAAAGTCTCACACAGTGCTTTCACCAGCCTGCGATCTCTCCCTCTCTCTCTCTCTCTCTCTCTCTCTCTCTCTCTCTCTCTCTCTCTCTCTCTCTCTCTCACTCACTCTCACTCTCACTCTCTCTATATATAGAGTGCAAAGCCTCCTGGATCTTCCCTTTGAGCACATCACACACAATACCATGAGCTTCAAACTTATCACGAATGCATGCAATTGTTAGGCGTGTTGGAGGGTCTTTTGCATACTCATGCCTCCATTGTATTGTACTTCCACAACGTTCTCAAATTTTAAATACCACTTCAAAATGGTGTTGCACTCCTTAAACAACAACCATACTTCTGCCATTTTCTCTCTGACTGCCCTGATTGTCACATGGTGATGCTAGCATTCTTTTGATTAACTCCATCTTTTGAGCGAATATCATACTTAAAATGTGTACACTTTTTTTTGGGCATATATATATATACATACATATATACATATTAGGCTCGGGAGGTAACTGTCTGAGCTTGAATTAAATTGGGGCCTCCACTTTAATTTATGTAAGTCCAGAGGTGTCTGATTAACTAAGATGCAGTGGGTGTGAAATGAAACCCATTTTTCTGAATTTTTAGCCAGTTCTTTGGGTGATTTTTGTGCAGCTGGTTTGTATAGCACATGTTGACAAACATTGACATATATAATGTTATGATAAGTGTTAAAATTGGTGTATAAGCCTTCTTCTGCTGTGTTTTTTAATTGCAAGCTACAACTATAGGCAAATTAAGTTACTTGCCCACAAATGATCAGAGGTAAACCTGGGTCCATATTATAAGACTCTTGACTCGGCTATAATTAACTGTTGTGTCCTAACAACTTACAAGGCCCTGTGCTAAACACTAATGGTATCAGGATAAATGAGACAAATATTTACTGTAAGAAGGCACAGTTTGTTGGGTAGCAGTAATACTTGTGGAAAATGTTCTAAAATAAAGATCCACCTACCAGGTCTCCAGTCTTGGACATTGTTTCCCATTAGTCTGTGATTGTAGGTTTACTAGGCACAGCAAATCTTGAAGCAAAGGAAGAGGGAAGCTCATCTAGATCCATGTAAGTTAGTGAGACTACTGGGGACTCCTAGAATGAGGGTGGTATAGACCAGAATAGTCTTGGGAACAAAACCACCTCTATAAATCCTGTTTCTGTGCAGAGTGAAACCTGTAGCAGTGTCTGCGTAGAAAATGGAGAGTCAGAGAGACTCGGCCATATTCATCAGTGGATGGAGGGATAATTCAATTTTGAGTGCACTATCATGAATGTTGCTCTAATTTGTTTAGAAGGGAATGAGAAAGGAAGTGCAATAAAACCATGAAAGACTATTTGCATCCATTAACAGCACTGGGAAGTGTCCACTTGGTTTAAGTATAACTCTAAAGCAGAGAGGGGCATTCTTAACATTTTTGAAAGTGCCAAATGGGGATTCAGACCACTGAAGCATCCAGAGAAATCAGTAGGTCTTTGTCATCTTTAGTAGTCCATCACAACAGTGGTGGTAGAAGCCAGTGGAGGGAGCAAAACCCAGAACAAGGACAAGAAATGCCCAATAGTCATGGCATTATCTGGGAAAGAAAGTCAAAACAACAAAGGAATAACAAAGCATTACAGAGGCCAGGAGTTCAAGACCAGCCTGGGCAACATAGCAAGTCCCTTTCTCTACAAAAAAAAAAAAAAAAAAAAGCATTATAGGTTGGGCATCCCTAATCTGGAAATTTGAAATCTGAAGTGCTCCAAAATCTAAAACTTCTTGAACATGAGATGATTCTACAAGTGGAAAAACCCACATCTGACCTCGTGTACATACTGTTTCATATACAAAAATATTGTATAAAATCATCTTCAAACTATGTTTATAAGGTATACAAAAAATAAATAAATTTGTGTTTAGGCCTGGGTCCTATCCTCAACATATCTCATTATGTATCTGAAAATATTCCAAAATCCAAAGAAGATCTGAAGTCTGAAATACTTCCGGTCCCAAGCATTTTGGATGAGGGATCCTCAACCTATATTAACCTGGCAATTGAATTTGCTGGTAGGCACACTTTTTGGAAACTTCCCTAAAAATAACTCAAGTTAGGGCCTTGTATATGTGGACAGAGGCAGGCACAGAGTTCAGTCATGACCTCAATTAATTCCCACAGCAGCCCTGTAAGGTAGAGGACCCCAAACCCCAGGCCACGGACCTATACCATGGCTGCACAGCAGGAGGTGAGCGGCAGGCAAGAGAGCAAAACTTCATCTGTATTTACAGCAGCTCCATTGCCACCTGAGCTTCACCTCCTGTCAGATCAGCACTGAAAAGCCTGCTTCCGTTTCCAACATCTTTCTTTTGTGAAGCAGGGTTTTCTGCAGTGACCGCAACCAAAACAAGATGATGGAGTAGACTGCACATAAGCAACACACTTTGGATGTCACTGTTTCCCATCACCCCTAGATGGGACCCTCTAGTTGCAGGAAAACAAGCTCAGGGTTCCCACTGATTCCACATTGTGGTGAGTTGTATAATTATTTCATTATATATTACAATGTAATAATAATAAAGTACACAATAAATGTAATGTGCTTGAATCATCCTGAAACCATCCACCCCAGTCCATGGAAAAATTGTCTTCCTCAAAACCGGTCCCTGATGCCAAAAAGGTTGGGGACCACTGCTGTAAGGCACATATTATCTTCATTTTATAGATAAATAGACTGATTTTAAAGAAATGTACCTAATAATTATAAGGTTTGTGCTTCTAAATAAGAGATCCTGAGGCAACACAATAGTTATGTCTTTAAATTATATTTTATAAGCTGATTGGCAACTTCCTTGATTCCTACATTTTTCCCAACACATATAAAATATATGTATTCATTTTGGAAAAGTGAGAAAAAACAGATAATCAAGAAAAAATAAATTTTAATGTATCAATAATTATGCTATATAAAAAAAGCACGTTCTGGTTTTCATATATATATTTCATAGATGATATGTATTTTATATATAGCGTAAATGTGTATGCTTTGAAATGAGACAGTATATCTATAGATTGCTTTTTAAATTGCTTTATTAACTTTATAATATGTAGTAAGCATCTTTCCGTGCAAGTTGATGAAACTCCCCTGCTGACAGAAAAACTTACAGACTAGGTCAAAATGAAATCACCAGAAAGAACACCAAAAAGTTTACACTAAAATGCAAGTTTGTAAATCAGGGGGTTTATGCTTGTTAACCTTTAAGATTCAAGGCATAAGGCAAAACTCATCTGGATGATCATGGTGAGGAGGGTCCCCTATAAGAATGCGCAGACTGTACCTCAACTGAAGCTCCCTAATTTTCCTCCTTAGCTCTCTCATCTCCTCCATGAACCGTTCCATATCATCTGCATCTCCATCTATCATATCTATGTTATTGATAAGCCTATCGGGCATATCCTCTTCAAAATTCTGGGCAGGTGGAGCCCAGCCCCCTCTAATATTTACTCCAGGCTCCTGGCCTTCACCACCTCCTAAAGGGCGAGCTGCTTCTTCATTCTGCACTGGGTCCTGCTCCCCAACTTTGTTTTCCTGGGGGACATTTTCCATATTGAGTTAGTTGGTGTTTCTTCTTCCTAGGAGATAAAAAAACAAGAAGAGGGACTGAATGCTTAATAACAGGATTCAGAGCTCCGTCTCACAAAGGTTTCCCCATCAGAGAAACTTTGTGCGCCCTCTAGGGGAATCCTGAGACCTAGCGCTGCTCTGAAGTCCACCATTTTCCTTGAAAATCTTTCCCCAGGCCAAAATGTAGGAAGGGTGGTGGGCGAGGCAACGGTGGAAAGGTCAGTCCTCACTTCCCAAGGATCCTAAAAACCTCTCCAGGGACACCCCAGACCTTGCCTCTCTACTTCCTCACCAGACACAGGGTTGCCATTCGTTCTGACTCTTCTAGGTCTCTCCTGCAAATCAATTCGGGCAGGGAGGGCTGAGTCCCCCAGATTCTACTATGATTGTTGATACCCCTACATCAGAGGGTCCCAGGCAATCCCTTACCTGAAGGAATCAGAAGCAGTTTTTCTTTCTTAGCCTGGAAATCTGCTGCACCAATGCACGTAAAGATCTGCAGACAGAAATACAACAATGGCCAGGACTGATCAATTGACCAAAAGACTGGAGGGCACCAGCTCTGTTGCTGATTTAGGGTATTCCTAGTCAAGTATTACCACATTCTACTTCTTCTCCATTCCATCTCACGGCTTCGGCTTTTTCCCCTGCCTTGTGACTACCTCACCTTCCAGAAACAGGAATCAAAAGATTATTTCCAAACCATTTAAATTTCTGTTTCAGGCCTCCTATACTCACTGTCTCCTAATTGTCGCCAATTACCATTTCTTGAACACAGATGGACAACTTTCGGGGTGAGGGAGTTAGAAGAGCTTGCTGAATGGATAGGTGATTTACAAAGAACTTCAATCTGGGTATCTCCCAGGCCCCTATGGGATCTATCGCCCTCTCTCTAGCCCACCACCTCCGATGCCCACCATTTTATGCATCAAGATGGACGATAGGCGAAAAAGTGTGTGGGCATTGCAAACCAGGACCCTCTGTGATCTCAACACTTTGTCATTCTTACCCCAGGGTCCCCAAGCAGCGCCCACATTTACACCGACTTACAAGAAACAGCTTCTCGCTCCTCGCCTCTATCCCTCAGTCAGAAGCTCACCTGCTCAATTGCGATAATAGAAACCTGCTTCCCAGACCTAGTCTCCGTCCTCCTTCTCTACAGCAACGACTCTCTCCCGCCCCCGCAGTCCTCCATTGCCGGCTCCAAATGGACCCAGGGTGAAGAAAAGATACCGAGAAAACGCAGGCCTAAAACCGAGGTCCCCCCCCCACCACCATACACACACACACCGGTCGCCAGCTCACCCTTTCACCCTTCTCCCGCGGCTTTGCAGGGATCAGGACGTTTCCTCGCAGTTCCCTCCCCTGGCCCGATTCCATCAAACCCCGCCGACTAGGGGATTTCACTGATACCCATTCTCAACCCAGTTCCCTCTCGAGATCCTACCTACAAACACTCGATTTCTTGCACCAAAACGGGTGGGTGTCGAGGAAGCGGTGGATAATCAAGTCTTGGATTATTTTTGTCCTCTGATCGTTGCCCTCTGTCACCCCCACCCCAGCCAGCGCCCACCAACCTGCCACGGATCTGGGTCAGCTTCTACCACTTTCCTTCTTTCCTGTGCAGCTGGCTTGCAAGCCTTCAGAGCAGTAGCGAGTCGCTGCACCGTCACCAGCCAGTACCAGACCGCAATTAGGAGGAGAGACTAATTCACGCATAGGCTCTGGTCTCAGAGAGGCTACGTCACTGTGAGCTCAGATTCCCAATTACTATTCACACCTGCAGTGCGGCAGGAGGGTGGAGTCGGGAGTGTGGGCGGGGCCGCCTTTCTTTTCTCTCTGGCTTTCTTTACCTCTACCACAGGCTACTGCCCACTCCTCCGCCACACTTTTTTTTTCTTATTTAGCGATCCCCAGGACCAAATGGGTCATGAGATTTTGTGGTTTTAATTTATCTTTCCCTGATTTCTGCTGGGGCTTTTAAAGAATTGATCCTTCCTCTTCTTTGTCCCTAAAGGCCCACTTCTCTCCGCTTGTCCTAGCAAGCAGAGCCTAGAATTTACCTTAATAGTTTTGGGGTTTTGTCCCACACTGGAACCTGGGCGGGGGTTGGGGAGTGCCTGGTGAGAAAGCCTGGACAATGGGTAGTAAGTAGCATTCAATTTTTTTCACCTTAATTATTTTCCTTTCTGCTTGTTTATTTTTCGAGGGGTTGGAGGGAGTATGGTTGTCTCTGTTTTGTTTTCCATCAGCAAGCGTTTATTTTTTGCTTCTTATAACTAGACAATATAATTATGTTCTGTTGAAAACATAGGATTCGAGTTGTAAAAACATAGCAACTTGTTTCTGCTGCTAAATCATATTATAAATACAAATCTTCCAGAAAGCACTCCTTCTTACCCCTTTAAGGACTTTGGAATATAATCCTAACCTGGTGGTAGTTCTTGTGAAGAGTCCATATCTATGTGTCCCTCCATGAGGTGATGCACTGAGTCTAATAGAGCCTTGCTGGTGGATTTTCAAATCTTGAGAACCTGTGACAACTTACGATCTTTTCTAAATTGCATTAGTGTAACTTCACCTTGCAATAACCTTCTAGCCTCACCTCTAAAGTAGAACACCAGTGAGGTCTCCCAATAATCCAGGACAATAATTTGGGGAGGCTATCCTGACAGATAACAAGTATTGTGAAACTACAATGTTAAAATAGTATTGCACCAGAATAAATACAGAACAAATGATCCAGTAAAGAAAGCCAATTGTCAAATCCAAATATGGAAAATGCTAGTAAACGGATTGAAATATTTTGAATCAGTGAAGGAAGATTAGATTATTGAAAAATGGTGCTGGAATAATGAGCTATTTTGAAAAACAATAAGGTAACTTATCCCTCTCAAGCACTTAAATATAGACACTAAATGTTTACATAAAATGCATAAATTCATTAAAAACAGAACATAGCATGTTATTTTGTATATAACCTTGGGATGGAAACGTTCTTTAAAAATACAGCACCAAAGATTGACAAGACCAAAAAGCAACTGGCTCTGTCTTGCTGGAGGATCTCTAAGGAACAATGTAGAATGCTCCTCGTTATTATCCCACCACTAGTAATGGGAAGCTGGGGTATTAATCCACAGTCTTGGGTCCTTTATTGGTGGATGTTATCTTGGGGATGTTAAAATCTCTGACACCTCTAGGTTGTCCTACACCTGGGCTGATCAATGTCCCAAGGTACCAAAAAAAGCCCTCAGCAAAATTAGAAAATACAGATGAGATAAAAGGATAATATCAGTTTTATCCTCAACCCAAGAAATATAATATTCATATTTTATTCTAAGACAGTCCAAATATTTCCCTTCAATGCAAAGATAATACACACACATTCATTTCTGTATTTATGACTGTTTGGGTCACTTGTAGTTTTCACTGTCATAGATGATGTTGATTGAATTTCTATGTACAAAAACTTTTGTACTAATATCAGGCTTTCAAACTGGTATAACTGTCATTGCTCTATATGTGTGTGAATATTGTTCATTGTCATAGAAATCAGTCTTTAAAAATGTCCCAATTTGGACTGGGCACAGTGGCTCAAGCCTGTAATCCCAGCACTTTGGGAGGTAGAGACGAGAGGATTACCTGAGCCCAGGGGTTTGAGACCAGCCCGGGCAACTTGGTTGAGACCTCGTCTCCACAATAAAGAAAAATAAGCTGGGTATGGTGGCACACGCCTGTAGTTCCAGCTACCTGGAAGGCTGAGGCAGAAGAATCCCCTGAGCCCAGAAGGCCAAGGCTGCAGTGGCCATGAGCATGCCACTGCGCTCCAGTCTGGACAACAAAACAAAACAAAGCAAAGTCCCAATTTGGTATCGCTAATATATGAGCATTCCTGTTTTTTCATATGTTGGCCAATATTGAGTATTGACTGGTTTATTTTATTTTTCTTTCTTTTTGTTTCATTTTTTATTTTTGAAACTTGTCAAGGTCACCAGGTAAACATGCCACATTATAACAGACACTTAAGGTATAGATTCCCAGACTCCTTCTCTAAAGATTCTAGTTTAGTAGATTGGAGTCAAGCCTGAAAACCTTCATTTAAGAAGTTCCTTGATGTAATTCTTAATATCTGATAGAATTGTGAGACCCTGTCATAGGCAAAAAACAAAAATGAAACAGAAAAAATGTCCCACTATTATATAAGTGGTCTTTAAAAAAATTATTATGAAATAATTTCAAACTTACAGAATGCTTTTGAGAATAGACCAAAAAACTGTCACATGCCCTTCACTGCATCCCTCAGATCTCAAGATTTTGCTGCATTTTTTTATTGGTCCCTCTTGAAGTAGAAGATCGCATTATTTTTTCTGAACCATTTGAGAATCAATTGAAAATAAATGGTCATTTAAAAAAATTTAGTGCAATTGATTCCATACAAAATTTTCTTAAAGATTATGTTATTTTTTGTCTTTACTGATTTCTTACATAAAAATTTTAAAATATATACACATGTATAAAAATAAATACTTTGGTGTATACTCTTACTAAATGTTCTTTACTCACTATCATACTTATTTGTGCATCTATTTTAATGGAATCATATACCATAATATGTCTACTACTTGCTTTCTTTTTTTAAAGCAGGAATTATTGAGAGGACAGAAAAAGCTCCCACAGTGGGAGGGGACGCGAAGGGGTTGCCTAGTATTGCTTTCTTATTTGTTTGAAAATATTTTCATATGGGTAAACATTTAACTACTTCAAGAGAGTTGAAATTATCATAATTTATTTAACTAATACTTAACATATTCATATTGGTATTATTTCCATACAGATTGTTTCAATAAATGTATATATTTATACAAACTGCTCTCCTAAAAGAAAGTCTGTTTGTTCATACCCTCACCAACATGGTTGTAATCAATAATATTAATTTATGAAATATTTAATCATATAAAATGAGATAGAAAGAATAAAGCATACAACCATTATTTTATATAATTTATATTTTATAAATTATATTTACATATAAAAAATAAAGCATAATATTTATATGCTATAAATATGTGTATATACACATACACATATATACACACATAGATACAAACTGCTTTGCTTACAAATCATGTTTTTGAGATTCATCTATGTTGATATATATAGATGTAAGTCAATTATTTTAACAGAGGTATAGTATTCCATTGTATAATTCATTTTTACATTTTCCTAGATGTAAGTCAATTATTTTAACAGAGGTATAGTATTCCATTGTATAATTCATTTTTACATTTTCCTATTGATATACATTTAGATATCCCCCCTTTTTTATTACAAGCATTAAGATTGGGTTTAACAAATAAAGTAATACTCAGCCGGGTGTGGTGACTTTATACCTGTAATCCTAGCACCTTGTGAGGCCAAGGTGGGAGGATTGCTTGAGCTCAGAAGCTCAAGACTAGCGTAGCCAACATAACAAGACTTTGTCTCTACAAATGAATAAAAAATTATTTGGGCGTGGTAGCATCCTACTGTAGACCCAGCTACTGGGAGGCTGAGGCTGAAGGATCACCTGAACCTCGGAGATCAAGGCTGTGGTGAACCGTGATCATGCCACTGTACTTCAGCCTGGGTGACAGAGTGAGACCTTAATTCAATAATAATAATAATAATGATAATAATACTGATATGTAGAATGTGAATGAATTTTCTGTATATTCTTATTATTTTTTGTATATATTATATAAAGGAATATTCCCTTAGCTCAAGCAAGGATGAAATAATGCTTCTTTTTAAAAATAATATTTGGAATGGTAAATAGCTTTTAAACAGGTTAGCACTTAATAACAAAATTGTGGGTTGAAAAGTGTCAAAATGAATACATTTCCCCAAGTTTTCTGTACAAGCAAACCATCTATTTTGGTAAAGCCTGCAGTTAGTTAACACACACACACATAGAAACACCTCTCATTGATTTGTAATTTTCTTTTCTCCCCCCATTTTTATCACAGTCTCTGTTGTTTTAAAAAAACATTTTATTATTTTAACAATTGAGTTGTTTTTCAAAAATCAAACAATACAGCCACTTAGTTTGGTATATATTATTGGAAAAATTTTATGCATCTACTTATGTAAAGGAATACTTTATTAAATCAGGGAAGAATTATGTCATAAATGTGAGTTTCTCCTTTAAGGATGGTACAGAATTATGCTTAGTGAGATGAAAGTTTGAAGAAAAATAAAGCTGTAAAGTCCCTACATTTTGCCATTTCCTCTGCCCAAGAAACTACCGTTCACCATTCAACTAACTTTAAAAAATGAATACTGTATTTTTCTAATGCTAAAAAATGCTTAAAAATTCTGGGCACAAAAGGTTATTAGTCTTTTAGCTATGTCGAATCCTTTAAAACATTTGAAACATTAGGAGTCATACAGCAAGGACTACTGGGAAAATTATTGTTGTTTTAAAAATGCTGTCATGTGATGTAAAAATCTCTTTGTTAAACTTACTGAGATTTTGTTTAAAAAAGCGTTGTATTCAAATGCAATTAAAACTCAGTTTTGGCCGTGCTCTGTGGCTCAGCCTGTAATCCCAGCACTTTGGGAGGCCAAGGTGAGTGGGTTGCCTGAGCCCGCTGGTTCGAGACCAGCCCAGGCAACTTGGCAAGACTTCATCTCTACAATAAATAAAAAATTAGCCAGGCATTGTAGCATGTG